TTCAACTACTCATCTCTTTTGTGTTATAAATCTTCCAGTGAAACCCTATAACCTAGTAAGAACCTGATTGGTAGAGATTAAAATAGGAAGATTATCTTCCCATTGTACAACCCATCCTTAACTGGATTGTTGTTGTTGTTGATTGATTTTGGGCTTTAAATAACTGCTCTATATTGCTTGTCTCCCTTCACACTACCTCAGTATAACGCCTCCATCCTTTTTAAGGCTTTGTCTGTTGAAGGTCAGCATGACAGCCACTGTAGATTTTTGTTTTGTTTTGTTCACAGAACAACTGGCTACCTAAGAGTTGATCAGATTCTGCTTTATGGGTACAGAATGACCCACTGAAAATGCTTTTTTAATAATACTTTTATCATTCCCAAGATGGCATGTCAAAGGCACCTTCTCCAATAGCTCATTTTTAAGTCAATAAAGAGGTCTTTGCCAGAGGTCAGTGCTTTTTAACATGAAATTGGATTTTTTAAATGGTGAGATAACAGAAACTTGTGATAAGCTGCTTGACCTAGTTATTATAAATGGGCTTTTCCGTTACAAGAAAAAAGGTTGGCTTTATTTTGTTTTAAAAAAAACTTTGCAGAAATACAAAGCAAAGATCGAAAGACAGAAGAAAAAGTTGGAATACCGTAAAGAGAATACAGAGGCTTGTCTGAGTACTCCATTCTTACTGAGTGAGATTTCCCTGCAGCCTAAGCTACTCCCTAGTTCCTCAGTGGAAGAGGCACACTTGGTTTATGGAGGGTTCCTCTGAGTTGCTAACACATGGGCAGGTACATAGAAGGAGGAGCTAAGGGAGTGAGAACATGACACCACCACTCGACGCAAGATGAGCTTAGTGCCACAGTCTGTGCTACAGAAAAATCGTAAATAGGTCAGAGTGAGAAAACTGCGTTCAAACCAGAACATCAGCAGCCTCATGGAGGATGAGGGCTGTGAACGGGCAGGAAGGCATTGGCAGGGAGGAAAATGGAGGGTCTCTTGAGGGCAGAGTGGATTCCTAGCGGTACTTGTTTTTCAGTCTCTATTCTCAGAATGCCCTGGTCTCATCTTGATCCTCACCGCCTCTTGGGAAGACCATTTGGAAGAGCAGGGGGAGCTAAGATTGAACAGTGAGGCAGAATCAAATTCAGCAGTGCCTGGAATTTGCAGGGTGAGCAGTTTGGACTCGAAACTTTTTCAGTGGGAGCACCAGTGAAGATTTTGGGGAAAACCTATTAAGTCTTGCTGTAGAAGATAGACAGACAGAGGCAGAATCAGGAAGCACTCAAAGCACTATTTGTTTTAACGTGCTTTTTCATGGTCACTCATCACAACAGCTCTGCAGGTCACTTGCATCATTCTCATCCTGCAGGGGCGCTGCCGCAGAGAGCTGGCAAGCATGCAGGGGCCCCTTCTTCCTCCCCTTCCGTTGCAGTGTTTGACCCTGTTGAGTGCCCCTGCATCCAGGTGCCTTGATCCGGTCCTCCTCTATCAGTCTTCTGCCTCAAGTCTGGGGAGCATTAGCAGGCCAGGAACTTAGATCTGCCATAATAGGAGGTTTACTGGTGTTTGGTTTAGTTTATTTGAAAACGTTCGGGCTTTCCCCTTAATTTAAAAATGATGGAGATTCTCTTTGAAAAGCAAGTCTCTCTGCAAGAAAGGCAAACAGGGGACCTTCTGGATAATGATTTGGTAGACTTGAGTTGATTGTTAAAATTAGCCTGATTACATACAGTCTTTTATTTAACAGCCACACTAAATATGAGTCAATTTCAGTCTGGGAAGTCCAGCACCCCCATTTCCTCGGGCCGCCTGGGTGAAAAGGAAGGCTGCTCTCCCGGTCCCTCTCCAGCCAGATCTGTAAACCTCAGTTCTTTGGAAAGATTTAAAATGTTAAGGGCAAAAGAAGAGCCAGGGCTAGAGAACTGCCAGATGGGTCTCCAAAGACACAGCTTTCATTATGTCATTCTCTTGCTAAGACCCTGCAATGCTGTTTCTCAGGCCTCGGCCTTTTAGTTTCCTCTGGCTAATCCCCCCCAGTAATGGTTTTTCCTTCTCTGGCTTCCTTATCTCATCTCCATTTTGCGTGGCCTGATGTTCCTATTCTGGTGTTAGCTGGTCTGGTCTCTCCTCAGCTGGAATGTCAGCTCCTGGGTTTCAGGAGACCAAGGTTTTCTTCACTCCCTTTTCATCTGTGACAGTCACTGGACAGGTCCTAGGCAAAGGCAGACGCTGAAGGAGATGAACCACAGGCTGCGCCGCTCATACCAGGTGGTGGCCTCAGGGGAAGTTCATAGTACCTATGTTGCCTGCCTTTGGTTCCACCTGGCGAAATAATGCAGACCTGAAGAATATGGATTAAAGATGAAAACGGTAGACAAATAAAACCAACATTAATGATATATATCTTTCATTAAAACATGGTTTATGGTGAAATATAGCCTCATTAAAAAAGCATAAGAAAATATAATGTATAGTTTAAAGATATATGCCTCTTTAAGATAGTCCAATTCAAATGGCTTTATATTTATTAGTGGAAAACACACTGATTATTTCTTACCTAGACCAGATAATAAAATTTCCAGAAGGAGAGCCGAAAAGCACATGTCTTAACTAATGCATGTAGCAGTTTGCTTATGAATAGACTTTTCTTTGACAATAGCACTTAAAGTTCTGATATTAATCCCGAATATATTTGCTGGTCTTTAGAGCATTCTGAATTCCTCCTTCTGTATATTTGTATATACTTTACTCCACTCACCCTGTCTGAATCTTTCCCACGTGTTGCTCTTACTCTGTGCCTGGAGCTGTACTGATGTTTTGCATGTGCTCTCATTTAATTCTCCCAGTAACGCTATGAGATTATATAATAGTGTCGTTCCCGTTTCACAGATCAGGAAACTGGGGTAGCATACTCAGGCCCTCAGAGCAAGTGAGAATTGGAACTCACGTTCTGCATCCCATGCTTGCTTTAAGTCCTACTAGCTCTGCCCCTAACCATGGACCATATGCCCTGCTTCCTCCACCATCCCTGTGGGCTACTGCTGCATCACTTATTACACACCCCCATATCTCCCACATTGCCTGGTCTAGTGACTTGCATATAAGCAGGTGCTGAAAGAATGGGTGATGGGAAAAGGGTTGTTTTCCTTTTTGCTGGGGGGGGCGGGGGAGGGAATTCCTGTGTAATAACTTTGTGCTCCAGGAATGTGAGCTCAGAAGGAATCCTACCTCCAATATTCTTTGAAATGCCAGCTTTATAGTATTCTTGACATCATCTAATTTTCCATTAGAGAACAATCTATGTAAAAGTTAACTTGCATTGCGTATAATGTTTAAATTTATCAGTATTAAAATGATTCAAAATCTATAGCCCTTTTTGACTTACGGTTGTCTTTCATTTCCTCTCAAGATGAGCACCTGCTGTTTGCATTGTTTTGTGCTAAGTAGAGTGAGGGATATAAAAAGGAATGAGGCAAAGTGTCTGCCCTTGGAGCACGTTTAGTTTATTTGGTAAAACAAGAATGTGGACAACTAACACTGGCAAAAAAAAACCCAAACCAAAACAAAAACGAGGTAGGGAGAGTGGTTGAATAGGACTATAAACTTAAGTAACTGGTTGATAACTTTTTATGCGTGATGTTTTGGTAAGTGATAAATCATTTAGTCATGATGTTAAGTTTCAAGTCATTATCATGAAATTAAATCATAATACGTCTCTTTACAGCAAGTTTATTTCTGATCGTGAAAGTAGGAGGAGTCTCACGAACAGCCATTTGGAAAAAAAGAAATGTGATGACTATGTAAGTGTCATTATAATAAAGTTTGCTTATTTTTTTAAATTACATAAATTGTGACAGATGTTTAATTCATCCAGCATAGTACCAAAAACATAGTTATTTATTCACCAGGTTATTTCTCGGAGCCTGTGTATTTTCTCCTGAAACCCATTTAAAAAAAGTAACTAGACCACTGAGAAAGGATTCCTTGAATTTCATTTCCTTGTTGGTTCCTGATAGTGCTTTCTTTAAAGGCTTTGGCGTGATGATCTGTCTTGAGGACTCTTTTGCCTAGTGTGACTGTCTCTGTTCAGATTCCAGGAACAACCTCCTTGGGCATGTCTGTTTTTAACCTAAGCAACGCCATTATGGGCAGTGGGATTTTGGGACTCGCCTTCGCCCTGGCAAATACTGGAATCCTACTTTTTCTGTGAGTGTTGACACTGCCGTACTTTTCATTTAAAAAACTGTATTTTTGGTATGTTTCTGTTCATACACAGAAGACATTGGAAGTATTTCGAAATAGTTCTTATTTCTTTCTATGTTTTACTAACTTGGCTAAGTTACAGTGCATCCTCTTATATTGTTTGTTTGAATGATTTTCCAAGAAGCACCTCATGTTTATAAGAAAGTAAAAGGAGAAAACCTTTTCATTAATCAAAAATACCAAAATAAGCACTTGCAAAAAGGATAAAAGATTTGAAAATAGCACTTTTTGTATTTTTGGACTCTATACTTGTCACTTTAAATCTCAGCTATCAATAAATGGTGAAAATATTGAAGTGTTTAATCCATCCAGTCACCACTTTGGTATTGGATAGCTGTGGAACACGTACTATATCCAAAGGTAACTGCAAATTCGTTTGTAAGAATCTTATATTCAAGAAGCATAGAAGTTTTCTGTGTTTTAAAGATGAGAAATTATTCTGTACTTTCCCCCTGAGATTCAGTGAAAAGAAAATGGGCAATTTTCTTCTGAAATAAGTTCATCTCAAACTGTTGAATGAGATTTTCTGCAAATGTAGAGAGGGCTTAATTTCAGTTGGAATGAGGTGAAGACAGATCATACGATTTTTACCAGGAAAATTCCCACCCAGCCTGATTTCTCAGACCTCAAAGGAGTAACAGTGGTGCTTTCACCCCTGACGACACTCATGCTCTTCATTGGGCTTGCCCAGTAGTCCTCATTGCCAGATCCATCATTTCCTTGGAAGCAGTGACCAAAATGTCTACTAATCCTGCAAATTGTGTTTATTCCTTTAGAAAGACTTAGAAGACTGTGATGGAAGTGCATTGCTACCCATTCCACTACTCAGGCATCAGAAATGCCCATCCAGGCTGCACCATATTGGTCCACAGCACTAGGGATTAATATTCATACTTTTGTGTGTAAACCCACTAGAGGTATCCATCCTAGAATCAGAACAACTCTGTGTAGGACAGTGAATCTAATACATTACCTTCCTCTTGTCAACCTAACCAGTAAACCCAACTGTAGCCTCCTGGCTTTATTGCCCCGGCTGGATCTTTCTAGGTGGTCTTTCTGTTTACGTATATCATGAGCCAAGTGGCAGGTTTTAGGGTAAAATGACAGGAGTTGGATAAAATATTTCTGTGGTGATACTTTTTTTGTATGTGTGAAATTCTGACCCTGTGACGATACCATAGATGGAGTTGGAGTAGCTACACTTGTGAAATTCAGTGCATTGACATGAAACACCTGACTGCTAATCTCAGCTCCTCTTCTGAATGGCTGTATAGTCCAGCAAGTTACTTAGCTATTCTGAGCTTCAATTCCCTACCCTTTGAAACAAGGAAATTGCACTAGAAAAATCTCAGAACCCTGTTAACCTCCAAAACCCTGTGGTCTGTGACAATTTTCAGTCATTCCAAAGCTGGAAATATGTTTGGTTTGGACATGTGTTTTACACTGATTGCTTTCTTTTTGATTATTGTAATATATCAAGTAGTTATATGTTAACATAGGATAAAGAGTCATTTCTTTGGTGATGATAACAAGAACAACTCTTGTGGCTCTTACTCTGTGCCAGAAACTGCTCAGAGTGTTTTTGTTTTGTTTTGTTTTGTTTTGTTTTTTTGCGGTACGCGGGCCTCTCACTGTTGTGGCCTCTCCCGTTGCGGAGCACAGGCTCCGGACGCGCAGGCTCAGCTGCCATGGCTCATGGGCCCAGCCGCTCCGTGGCATGTGGGATCTTCCCGGACCGGGGCACGAACCCGCGTCCCCTGCATCGGCAGGCGGACTCTCAACCACTGCGCCACCAGGGAAGCCCTCCTCATCTTTTATATGTAGCCAGGGCTTTTGTTTTTATTTTGTCTTTTCTGGACACTTGCCAAATATCTTTGTTGCCAGTGTTTCACAATGCTGTGTCTTGCTGTGTGCCTTTTTTCCTCCATTGTGTCAGGCAGCTGGTACATCTTTTCTTTTAGAAATTCATGGTCTTCAGTTCTGGGACATTTTCTTACATTGTTGTGTTGATGAATTCCTTCCTTCTCTTTCTCTTTTCTCTCTTTCTGGAACTGTTACCAAGATTTTGGACCTTCTGGACTAGCCCTCTAACTTTTTATTCTTTTCTTTGTTTTCATTTCTAAAGTTTTTCACTGTACTCTCTGGAATATGCCACCAATTTTTTTCCAACTCTTTACTGAATGTTTTATTTCTCTTATTATTTTTTTATTTACAGGGGCTTTTAAACTTTCTTTGAATGTTCCCTTTTTATATTATTTTGTTTCTGTTTTACAATTTCATTGTTTTCTCTGAGAATTCTAGTAATGGTTTTTCTCTGTTATGGAAAATTTCAGGCATCAAGTAGAGTCTAAAATATCCCTGTATTCCCTTCATCTCATGACCATGCTTGTTTAGTCAGCCCCTCACCCAGATTGTCTTGAAGCAAATCCCAGCCATCACATCGTTTCATCCATAAATATTTCAGTGTGCTTCTCTAATATATAAGGACTGTAAAAACATAACCATGATATGACATACCCAGAAAATTAGCCACGGTTCCTTATATCATCAAATACCCGAACAATATTTAAATTGCTCTGCTTATCTTATTTTTAAAAAGCAATTGGATTGTTTAAATCAGTACTCAAATAAGGTCCATATACTACAATTGGTTGTTTTGTGGTTTAAGTCTCTTTCACTCTATAGGTTCCCCCATTTTCTTCTGTTCTTTTCTGTGCAGTTTATTTGTTGAAGAAACTAGACCATTTGTCGTACAGTGTTTCCCATAATCTGAGTTCTGCTGATTGTATCCCTGTGATGCAAGTTGATTTTTCTGTTTGTTTTGGACTCTTTCATTTTAGAATCTTTCCTTAGATGTCAGGTTGTCCTTCTCTGTCTGCTGTATTCAGGAATTGCAGGGGGTGGACTGGAACAAGGCTAGTTGGAGCCTAGTACACATGAGTGGGGTTTGTTGGAAATAGGTTCACTAGAGGTGCTGTCAGTAGCCCTTTCCTTGGGGAACCAGCCGTGTCAGTTTCTTCTTGGCTGTTCAGATCACCCAGGGAAGATCTTCCAGTCACCTGCCTGTAGGGTCTGGGCACTGCTGCCGTCTTTATGGGAACCAAGTTGGGGGAAAGGGCTTGGGTGAATATCTCTGTGCATTTGTCCACCCAATCCTAGTTTTCATTACAGAACCCCTCCCTCACAAGTTGTGCTGAGTCCCTCACTCGGAGACTTACATTTTATACTTTTCAGAGAATATATTTTCTGTATATTTATGTATCTTTTGCCAAGATGGGAGAGGAGCAGTCACCCTGCTTTACAGAGTAGGTGCCTGGTCTGGGGAATCTAGCTGTTCCTTGAAAGAAGTTCAACAGATCCTCTTTATTTTAGTTTATCCTGTCCATTGTTCCCTACTTCCAGTAATGCCACCAGGGCCTTTTGGGAATTCTGTGGTGTAAATTGGATTGGTCTTGGCTTTCTCCACTGCCAGTTTAAGATTCAGCTCTGTCCACTTTCCAGCTTCTGAATTTTTGTTACTGTTGTCTCTTCTCTCCTGTTCTTACTATCCTAGCAGTTTTATGCCTTAAGAAATCGCTTTACTGGATTATTGGGGCCAGGGGAGCAGGAGTAAATTCTTGTTTTCAACCTACCATTCCTGGAATTTGGTTGATTTTTTAGTTATACTGGTTCAGGGATAAGTGATCTCTTATCTCATGACTCTTCAGTTTCTGATTAAGACAAAGAATTGGGTAAAGGTGACTTTTAGAGTTGCCAGAAGATTTCCTCTGGGTAAAACTCTCATAGGTTGTTTGGTTCTTTGCAAGACGCATGAATAGCAAAGCACAACATGCAGAACCTTCAGGTGAAAGCTCATGAAGGTAGTTGTATAGAGACCCAAACTTACAAGTTTTTCACAGAATGCAGAGCTCTCCTACCTCAGAATAAGGGCTCACTCTGTGTTATAAAACCAGCTGTTCCCACAACTGCTCAAGCCAAGAAGCGGTTGGCAGGAAGAATATAATTCATCTGGTCCAGGGCCCCGTTCCAGACTCATATTGGCCAAGGCAGAGAAAGAGCCCAAGGCTGTCCAGGCTTCTTTAGAAAAGCAGCTGGGAAGGCTCCTCTGTGTCTCACTGAGGCTGGGTGCTGGGCTCTTCATTGGAGTCATCTGGAAACTTGCTGTGGTGATTTCTTTTTGCTGGATGAGTTTGGGGCTCATTTTTTGGACCTGACTATAATGGCTGTCATTCCTGTTTAACACACGTCTGATTCAGTTCGATTCAGTGAATTCAGCCCTGAGAATGCTGTGAGGTTTTGTGTTATCCTAAATCCTGAGGCCTTATAATTGCATCTGAGGAACCGGAAGTATGCTAGTGGTCAATCTCAGCGTACAATTGTTCTGAAGGTATATGTTCTCTGTTGGAAGTAAAATGGGGCTGTTCCCTGAGGCAGCAGTTTGGGGATGTGCTGAGGCACGGGTAAGGGTAAAATGCACCTATTGAATTGAGTTTTCCTGAGTGGAATCCGAGGGAAAGGCAAAGGGTGCTGAAGAAAATCTCTTTCCCCTGCATCCTCCTCTTCTATTGCTACTCTTTTTCCACAGCTTCCCCATAACTCCATCATAGCCAAAGTAGGAATTAAAAGTAAATATTGGGCTTCCCTGGTGGCGCAGTGGTTGAGAGGCCGCCTGCCGATGCAGGAGATGCGGGTTCGTGCCCCGGTCTGGGAGGATCCCACGTGCCGCGGAGCGGCTGGGCCCGTGAGCCATGGCCGCTGAGCCTGCGCGTCCGGAGCTTGTGCTCCGCAATAGGAGAGGCCACAGCAGTGAGAGGCCCGCGTACCGCAAAAAAAAAAAAAAAAAAAAGTAAATATTAGCACAGAAGAATGATGGCTTTTGTTTTGTTTAGTTCACATTACCATCTCCCCAAATAGGAAAGTTACATTTTCTAAAGATTTCTATT